CACGCCCATAAGATGGCCGTGGTGTTTTCGAAAGCTTAGGTTCCTCTATTATTTGAGTTTTTACGTCGACCTGAAACATATTTACGACATCCTGTTTGATATTTGTCCTTTTCTCTTACAGGGAAACAGGGTTATATCAACGGAAACTTAACCTTTTACAGCGCCTTTTCGCAGTAGTTTTGTAACACCTTACCTGAAATATCTCAAGATTTTGGAGGAATTGAAGTATTCTCGCCAAATGATTAAGTGCAAACCTAATGTGATTCTCTTTAATCGCTTACGTTAAGGAGCTTTGCTCTTTGTAAATGGTGATTATTTTCTGATTCAGTTCCCTTTCTGGTTCATTTGTGCATCGTTATTCCAAACGACGATTTTCTAATCGAAATACATCCCTCCGAATCTTGCTACTTCTTTAATTAACCATTTGGTTGGTTAAAAACTAGAAGGAACTGTAAGGCCTCCTGAGAAAAGTCGTATAGATATTAATTTAAGGCTAATGGTTTACGGACGAAGAATTAAATACGCACAGTCGAATCTTTCGTTTATGATCATGACTCTACACTAGAAGCATTGATCCTTCGGTTATCCAACGATTTTTTTTTAAACTGCAGGAAGTTCGCTGGTTTATCGTAGTGTGAGAACCAAGCATTAAAGAATTCGCACAAAAATTAGCATTTCTGATGATTTAGAACTAAAAAGAAATCGATTTTTAATTTAGACTTGTATCATCAACTACAGGAGGCACTAATTTTAACTTTTTTCTCGTGACCTGAACCGCCATCAAACGTCTTACGGGTATCAGCCGTGATATATATATATCTGAGTTTATCATCTAAAAATGTTATATGCGGTTTTTGAGAGTGAACCTTCAGCTAGGAATATTCAAGATGTTCTTCTAATTTGTGTTTTTTTACTAATCTGGACCATCTTTGTGGTAGAAATAACTCTGCAGTTGCAGTCGCAAAGCACGCAAAACCATATTCTACTAAAAGCAGTCCAGAGTGGCAAATTTCGAACCAACACTTCGCAAACGTGTGCCCACGAACATGCGATTTTTACATAATGCTTCTAAAAGTTTATGTCCATTTTGCCAAAGCGGTTCTTCCCCATACTGTTAGTTTAGCTTTATATTTAACATACTTTTTAAAGCATTAAATCCGTTTATCATTTGCGGCTGAAACAAGATTTATTATTTTAACCTGGACAATGTCGATTTATCTCGAAGTTGTTTCTGAAGAGTTTTCTGCAGCCTCAACATTATGTAGCTTTACAAATACTGACAGGCACTATGTCATTCCAGCTTTTTTCGTTAGCGCAAACGAAGCGTGAAAAAGATTCTGGCAAGCCCACTGCAACCTGCAAATAAGTGGTCTTTTTGAAAAGAACCAACATTGCCCAAGTTAGTTGCAGACACCTGCACTAAGGCTAACTCGTTTTTCCCACACTCCGGCGAAGGAAAATGTGCATAGACCTGTGTGGCCACCTGGTTGTATAATGATTATAACGGCTTAACCACGACATGTTAGGTTAATTTCAAATGATGATATTACCTTGTAATGCAAAATAACCTAATGAATGGTATACCATTTGAATAATAATGTCGTATTGTGAAGAATAAGAAATCCAAGACTGAAACAAAAGTATCCCAAATTCTTTTTCTAAGAAGACTTTAAGGCTCTTATCCTTGCCTATAGAAACTGAACCAGAAAGAGCAATAAATAATGTTATTATGAAGTTAAATGTTCCAAACGTATAACTTTTAAGTGGCATTTGCTAGAGTGAGAAAAGGGAGAGAATAAAGTTAAGTGTACAGTTGCAAAATAACTGCTCCGACCACTCCACTGTCTCCCTTTTAGGTCTGAATTTATCTGCTTTTCGATTTTCATTTGGAAATGTGAAAACTGTTTTCACCTTCGGTACTTCTTCTAATGACTTTGTACGTTAAAACTGCAAACCCACTTTTTATGATGCACCAAAAGTTCTTTCATGAGACCTTTATTACAGGTATTTACATAAATGACACATTGCGTGAGGCAGTTTTTGCGGCTTGTCTCGATAAAATACACTCAAAGAGCAAACTTATTGCAGTAAAAATGCTTAAGATTCAAAAACAAAGGCCTGCGTATACTTACTCCTCGTTCCTTTGTATTTCATGTTCAGTACAACGTCGACTAAGACACTCCGTCTGCGCCGTTGTTTGTCCACCCGACGTACTTCTAGACTCCGAATCTTTTGCCAATTTTTCAAAAGTGGAATGAGTTTGGGGTGAACTATTAACTGGTTCGCTTTCAGGCTTAGGCTCTTTTGGTGCAGGCGGAGAACGAGCCGCCTCCATTCCTAGTCCTATCTTCGACATTGTTGTTCCCGCCATCATCATGAGCTCAGCCAAGCCCATCTCCGTAGTCGTCGCTTTGCGCTGCAGACGGACCGCCACATTATAAATGCGAACGTACAACGAGGTAATAAAGACCAGTGGTATCCAGAAATAGCCGACAGTAAGAAGGGTGTTGAAAAGTGTGAAATGTGTGAAGGGAACACTGCAGTCTGTTGGCGGAGGTCGTTCTTGGTCCGTGAAATGGTACCATCCAAAAATCACTGTCGACCAGAGTGCTGTCGGAAGAATCCAACTCAGTGCAAGCATCACCTTCAGCTAAGGGTAAATTTAAAAAATCGTGAGTTTCATTTTCCTCCGCAAAAATACACCTAGCCCAAAGCAAAAACAGTATTTAAGCAATTTTCTGTTAGATTATTCCGATAGCGACATCATGCACAGCTACTATTTGAGCACCATGTCTTAAAAAATTCTGCGAACTTATTCTGAGTTTTAATTCCGCTTATCGTAGACGCATTGCCAACTAGTTTAGTTGTTCCATTTTGGGGGCTCAGTGCGATGATATTCCGCACAGCATGGGAACTTAACAGCAAAGGAGTGTCTGTATGTGGTGCGAAGCGTCATGCTTGCTTACTCATTTGTACGTAACTAAAACAATGATTATGCGTGACACCATCGGAAGTATTACTCGCCACTTATCAGAACAAGGTCATTTGGATTATGGTTTTCATAACAAATTACAAATTATATTCGTTTACCAAAGCACATGTTAAAACTCGTTGTTATCTTGTACAAATTACTCATCTGAATGAACATTCAAATCAGAGTATATTATTCGTATGGTTCCCAGTGGATCAGTTCAATTTCAGGATGTAAATATTTGTTAAGACCATTATCAGGTTGTTAAATAATTCCTCATGGCTATGCTATACCAGCTGACGTTGACATATCTAATGGCGGGATTCGCGTTTTTCAGGTAAAAAAATAAATTAAAACTTTGTTGCTTGCTACTTCGTCATGCAGACTAGAATACCTGTGCGAGTCCTGAAAGACTAAATACGTGAATGCATGTTTGCACAAACAGCTTGGCTACATTTAAGTAACAAAATATGCTGTCATCATGCTCGGTGGTAACTACATGGAGATAATTACTAATGACATCAATATTCGATTGTATCCTTTTTTTCCGAAGGACAGTAGCACTGTCTATGAAGGTGTCAAACACATTTAGGAGTCGAACACACTGCAGAACTCCTTACTCGTATGAATAACAAAGATAGCTGAGCGCATTTTCGGTTTAAACCAAGATTATTTTTTGCATTCAGTGATCCAGGTCCCAAAAGCGATCTATTTCCAGACTAGTTAAAGTCAAATATACTCAACCTTACATAAGTGCCAGGCAGTTCTGAATTGCCTCTTCTCCGATGTTTGACTAGATGTATGGGCTGAGCCTCCCATATATCCTCAAAATATATTTATCTTATATGCAGAAGTAAGAGCAATTGGCACTGTCGGGTAGGTCGTGGTAGTCAGCCAACTTCCTGCAGTAAGTGATCAATGCTGGAGGTGAAAATCCTGCAAAAATGCACTGATTACCTACCTTGGTTAATTCCTGAACAGAATCAATTTTCACGGTACCAAAATTTTCGGATATTTTTTACCCTACTTCTGACCACGTAACGTTCTAGATTTATGCATGCCGTTCCCTTTCCAGAAGCATTAAGTGGCTTTTTCGGAATCCCTACTATCATGCAAAGAATTTCGTAGAATAAGGTTAGGCTACCTTGGGTACTCATTTTGTACAGACAGTTTGGGAAACGAGTTGTATTTTTACATGCTTATAGCTTAACCTCTGTCGATTTTTTGTCTGCCCAGTAGCCAAGTAAGCTTCTTTGCTTTATCCCTTTGTAAAAGAATGAAATCATAAATTGTTCTTAAAAAACACAATTTGAGATTGGAGTATGATCCATTATTCATTATGAAGTTTTTTTAATAATATTAATAGTAACCATAAAATAATATATTATATAATAATGATATTAAACAGACCTTGTTGTCTGTCCTCCAGTTCCGATAACGAAGGGCGTGTGTTACGGACAAATACCGGTCAATCGTAATCATAAACACTGTGACCTGGCTGATAAAACATAGAGTAAAATCCATTGCCATCCAGCATTCACAGACGATATTTCCCAAAGGCCAATACCCCAACATGAGGTAAAGCATAAAAAAATTAATTGATATCAGTCCAATGAGAATATCGGTGAAGGCAAGCGATATGATAAAGTAGTTGTTGGATGAGCGTACTCCACGATCCAAAACAAAGGCTACCAATACCAGCAAGTTGCCCAAAATGCACGCGATTGACACAATGGTGGATAGAATCGAATAAATTACTGTTTCATATTGAGTGTACATTCGGATGTTGCACTCTCCTAAAATGGTAAATAATAATTTATTCAGCTAGGGTAAGTTAGTATTTTCAGCCAAAAGATGCGACCAATACGTATGTTCTATCATGAAATCGAAAAATTAATGAATAAGATTTCTGCGTTTAAACCATAAATTAACGTTTTTATGCTATAATCAAATTTTAAAAATGTACAAATAGCAAAGGTTTCACTAAGCCGTCATTAAAGTTTTCCGGTTTTCAGCTTTCTAGTTTTATACTTGATATGACAAGCTGGGCAAATATTTTATCCATAAAATGTGTTTCAAACGCAAACCATAGCAAAAGGTGAGATCAACTTTCTCTATAATATATCAGTCACCACTTATTTGGCTTCATACTGGGTAGACAGAGAATACAGGGGTAATATGACTTACGGTTATAATGAGCTTCAGATTTTCCAACTAGAATGCTGCTCACCGCAAAATACGCATAAATTCCTGTCTATAGTTTTCCTCGAAACATGTTCCATTTGCCTGTCTACCAAGCATAATGCATTCACTGATTGAATGACATATTCTCCCATATGCAATTTACTGCAACGCACAGTAGACAAACACAATAATGGCACAGCCTCGTTCATTGGGCAATTTAAACTGCAAATGAAAGCTGCCCGTATAGCAACCAATCATAAGCTTCAAAAGCAATAGCATTAAGACTAATCTACTATATTTCTGAATCGCTGAAGTACGGAGAGAAAGATGAAATTTGCATAAAATGCACAAACACATTGTAGTTATTGTGGACTTGAAAGGATAAATAATTGTCCTTAGACAGATTCGAAAAATCTCAAACACCAGTTTACGGTAATCGGTATTAATTCGGGCCGAAGAGCGCGGATAGAATTTGTATTTTTGGAAAGCTCGCAAGGCTATTACTAGCGTCAGCGACGTTCGTTTATTGTAACCAACAAATTCACAGTAGTTTTCGGTGCACTGCCCATCCAGTAAACGGTTGTGGTTTTCAAATTATAGTATGGTGATTTACTAGCTATAAAATGTCGCTATACAACTGGTGTTTTAATGGATATAACCATTTGGCATCAGCCGAAATTAGCGATAAAAGATACAATGACACAAAAAGGAATTACTTCTTGCAAACTTCTGATAGCATCTCCTATTAGGCTTTACTTAGCAAAAATGCACAAAGCGCGGTTTGCTTTCTTACCACCATGTATCCAATGATATTGTTGCCGAATCAGTCCGGTTTAAAAGCCAATGCAATGTGCTTAGATCAACCAATGTTTTTACCCTAAGAAAAAAACAATGGATGTTTTTATACAGTATGGTGTTGCCGAATTATAATTACTCGTAACTTGGCTACTGCACAAAATAAAAATTAGTGAGAAGCGTTCCGGTCATTTTTGTGTGTATTTTTCATAGAAATAAAGAAGTTATGTGATTAATCATCAGGGATTATAGCCGAAACCGAAACCTCCAGTTTACACTTTGCACGTTGGACTTCCCTTACTGATTTATTTGTCCCATTGTGGTATGCAGTGTGTTAAACGCCAAATAATGCGATGTTTTTCTTCTCTCCAATTAGGATGTCTATTGTGCTACTTTTTTACTAAAACGTTTCATTTTCTGCTATTTTTCTGAAATAACGTCTACTTTCCATGCGGAAGTTTAGTTTTTAATTAAAACGTCTTTCTAGTGACCATTGTGTACGTAAATAAATCATGAATGGGTTAGAGTGGACGTCATGCACAAAGCCGAATAACTGTGCTTCTTTGGGGAATATTTGCTTTTCAGCTGACACTATCGTCGTGTAGCCCATTTAACATTTTTTTCTATCATTTGAGTTTATACTATGTAATGTGTAGTTTTTCTATATAGGATGGAGTGATAATTCGAAATGTTATTGTTTAACGTTATTTTCTGTTAGCTGAACTCTCTTCGGCGAATAAAAAATACATTTTCTTCAAATACTATGCATTGGAACAATACAAATTGCATCATAAAATAGCAAAACTTGCATAAACGGTTAGCTATCTATCAAATTCAAATTAGTAGCCTTGGGTCTTATGTCGTTTACTTGGCATGGTTGGTCAAGTGCCGCGACTTGCAAAAAGGACTCCCCAGTTGAAAGCTGCCTTTCAGATGCCCTAAGACAGTAAAATTGTGAAAGGCCACGGAAGTCAGGTAGACAATAAATGTGATTTATGCGCGGTGAATTTACTGCCATGACCTCCGCACATCAGTAGTGAATATTACATTCCTCTCCCGTTTGTCATTTGACTTTCATTCTGGCTGGGCGAGAAACATAAGGGCACCTAGGGGATCGGAAGGTTTGCTAAGTCATACAACGCCTGTAAATTTTGGATAAATATTTTTTCACCTCTTGTTGTTGGAACTGTTGCATTTAAGCTGTAATAATCTAGATCGTTAGGTATTGTTCGAGGGCTAGAACACCGAATTTGACCGTACCATACGCTACTAAACAGTTGCTCCTCAACCATCTTGTCTCATAGTTCAAATATATTCCTGAAAACATCTGCTGAATTCTGGTTATTGAAATGCACTAAAGCAATCAATATATATGAGAAAAGAAAGGCTTCTTTGGGAATCTTGAATCTTTAATGTGGGAACCAGCCTCGGAAATTCCAACATTAAAGATTCAAGATTCCCAAAGAAGCCTTTCTCTTCTCTATTAA